ATAACGAAATGAATATTTCTATACATTTATATCTATACATATATCTATATGTACATATATTTACACATACGTGAACATAAATGCGCATATATATTTATGTTAGCGAAAATTTTCTCAAGTATGTTATATTAATTGCATATGTAAATGACCCGTAGTATATGAAAAGTGACAAATTTAAAGAAAAGCGAATATTAAAATATTGTAAAAAAATAATGTATAAAATCGTTGAATTATGAGATAATGTTATATAGGAGATGCAAAACTTTAAAATCAATCTGTATAAAGCATAAAAGCAATGGTGTTCATTTAAGAAATATATAAGTTCCTCCACTAGAGAACCAACCAAAAAGATAGATGAACGTATAGACAATTTTCAAACATATTTATTTAACAGACTTAAATTGTTTGTAAAGTCATGCCCCTATGTCAAAGATCTTGAGCAATCTGTAAAGCTTAATGGGATCAATAACAAAAATGCCATTGCATTACGCAGTCTATGTTAAATAGAATTAAACTCAATCCAAATTAAATTGAAATTTTAACTGAAAATGGTTATAAAAAAAACTTGGTCCACTTTTTAACATTGGTTTAAGGTACATTAGGTATATTATGAACTATGGACCGAAACATCCGAAACATTCACCCATAGTATCTGCTCATGTTCTATGTATGCTAAATTTTCTTTTAATTGTAATTTCGAGATGTAAGAAATTTAACAATAAATTGTCCATTTTTTTTAGTTTTGACTTATACATAAATAGAATTTATTTTAACACAAAAAAAAATTTTTTTTGTATTTAGTTTTATTATAATTAGCACTAGAAAGTTGAGTAAAATTAATAAGTTGTAAACATAATTATTCACAAAACAAAAAAAAACAAACCTAAACGCTTATAACAATTTTATATTTAAATTGAATAAATATCTCAGAAGAAAATAACATATATACAGACAAAAATAACATACAAGTAAAGCGACTTTTACTAATTTTTGGTAAGATAATTAGTGGTAAAAACAGATTCCTTTGGGAGTCAATAGGTAACATTAAAAACCAATTAGACTTACATATCCCAAAAAACTGAATTTGATTAATGATGTAATACTATATATATAATACACTATTATAATATATGTATATATATATATGTGCATATATTATTTATTAGAAGCCTTCTTATATAACAAAGGCATTAAAATTAGCCTCAAGAAACTGGTAATACAATTATTACTAGTTTTTCCAAATATGTATATATATTATAAAGATGCAATTATTTCCAAAAAACCTTCTCATAAAACAAAGGCTTTTAAATAAACCTCGAAAAAATGTTAATACTACTATTATAAGTGTTTCCAGTATTTCTATAATCTTTTTATAGAAAAATTTTTAAAAATCTTTAAAATGACTATGCATATGGGATTATTTTTTTCCCCAAGTCAATTAGTTTTTAAGGTGCATTCAGATACAGAAGTGTAAACAGACTTACTAAACTAACCTCTAATACGGATTATATCTTGAGGCCACACCTAGTAGGAAATAAATTGAAAGGTATATAAAGTGAAATGTATATAATTTGCTATAGTAATTAAAATCTTTTAACTTTGTGGAAGATTTCAGTAGACAATCACTTTATTTTTTTTATGTATCACATGTTAGACAAAAAAAAAACAATATTTATATTATAATACAATAATTTCTTTGGACAAATATAAGAATTGTATTATATTTCTACAAATTTTGTGGAAAATTTAAAAGCTTGAATAAATATATATGCTATAAATATTATTCAGGTTGGTGCATTAAAATAAAGCCAACAACTTAAACGATGGGTATTAGTTTTCTTGTGAACCGCGACCATCACTAATCTAAGCGATCCATCGTTGTTTGCTTCCATTCTTGTATTATTCCGTATGCAGCCATTACGGCATCCATATTTACATCAAATGGATCGGAAACAGAATCTTGTAAGTATTTAAAAACTTCATTTGCCTTCCTGCAATCCGCACACGTAAATGTTAAGGTGCCAGAGGAAGATCCGCATTTTTTGGACTTATCAACTTGCACACAAATCTCATCCTTTTGTTGTTTATTCTTTTTAGAACTTCTATTTTTCATCCCTCGTCGCGGCCAACAAATCTGCTTGATAGACGTTTTAGAAGACTGTTGGGGACAGTTTTGAGCCTGTAACCTTGTGGTCACCATGATAAAACTATGTGAAATTTTATATTAAGCAAAATTGAAATCACACTGATAATAAATTGAATAAACTTACGTGAGTATTTAAAAAATAATAATTTCGTTTAAACTGAGCTGATCAAATAAAACCAACTAATGTTCTCGGCTTTGTGAATTTAAAGAAGTTGCTATGAGTACGTAATGAATTATTACCAACTAACCTTTTATACATAAGGTCTCACCCATTTGAAGTGTACTTGAGTACAAAAGATTCTATCTCAACATATAAGACAGCAAAAAAAAAAATAAAAAATAAATGTCGTTACAATAATTTTTTTTAGAAATTCAAATTAAAAATCAAAACTAATATAGTTGTCATAATTTTTCTAATATATT